GTAATAGCATACGTACTTTTAAATATTCTCAGAAAAAAAAATTCAGCGGATTCATATCCGGCGATCATGGGGTCACGCAACAGGACCGCCGCGGCCAATCCAGCTGTCTTGAAAGGCTTCATCTAAATAGGCCCGGACATTTGTGACGAAATGTGCAGGTGCTCCATCGTGTTGGTAGAATATGCCTCTTCGAATTTCGGGAGGAATTACCTCCGCGAGATTCGGAAGAACATGTTCTAAGAACACTCTGTATGATGGGCCGTCCAATCTATTAGGTAGAAGGTACGGCCCAACGATAAAACCGCCGCAAATTCCGGCCCATACATTGATTGACCAGCGCACTTGTCCTGCTCGTGTTCGAATCGCCAACGGATTCTCATCGTCCCACACGTGCGAATTGTGGGCATTGAAGCACCCCTCCCTGGTGAAGAGGGCTTCATCAGTCCACAAGACGCACTTGCAGAACGATGGATTCTGGGCGATATCGCCCAACAACCACCTGGAATACTGAATCCGCTGATTATGATCTTGAGGATTCAAGTGTTGCACCCGCACATACTTGTACGGGTGATTGCGTGGTCCTTCAACACCTTGTGCACCGTTGATCGCTTGATACTAAAATAAAATACCATAATCACATAATTAGAACAATAAAACAATTCATTATAAAATTTTGATTTCTTTTATATTAAAACTTACTCCAAACGCTGACTGGCTTCTCGAATATTGATCGTAGGATCACGTTCGAATGCATCTAAAATAGCATCGGTGTTACGTATGGCTCGTAATCCATCGTCGGGGACCACTTCACGTCGCTGAGGCGTTATTGACCCAGTGTTGTACAATCACGATGCCACTTGTCAAAAACTATGCGCACTTGGAACGTTTTCTTCACCATGAACTTCACGATATCTTCGCATGGCAGCGTTCGCGTTGCTATTGCACTGCGCGTAAATGTACATCATGTTGTAATATTCAGCACTGGTTCGTAACATTTTTCTTCTTGTTTTCTTGGCTGTCTGATTTGAAATGGGACTGCTAGCTTTAGCGTTTGCGAAGTGGGTCCTATTTTCATTAGAGAGGGGATGTTCGTAGAAACTAACAAAGTAAAAATGCGCTTGACTTGGCTTTTGTTTCTGCGTTTTACAGTTTTATTGCTCTGTCATAGAGCAACAGATCTTTCCTACGCATCTGGTTTATTTCACCCGTACATTGCTAATGTCGCCAAAACAGATGGTTCAGCTCATGAGCCTAAAGGACCTCAATAAAACCTTTCCGTTTACCCTTGGGAAAGGATCTAGCCGTATAAGCATAGTGAATCGGCCCCAGCATCAATTTCGGTTGATATTTATACCACATAATGCTTTTTACCTTGCTGGTATAACACTTACCTGCGGTACGCGTGCTGTCATAAGAGCAGTGTAAAAGGTAAAGCAGCTTGACGAGCTCACCGATATGTTTTTCCGGATCCTTTATTCTTTGTCCTTTTCTACGTTTGGCCCGCGATCCGAGAATTAAAGGATCCGGAAAAACATATCGGTGAGCTTGTCAAGCTACTTTACCTTTTACACTGCTCTTATGACAGTACGCGTACCGCAGGTAAGTGTTATATCTGCACCGTAAATTAATAGCGCAAATTAACAAAAATGTACCAGTTTCATCAATTATAGTTTTATTGGGGTCCTTTAGGCTCATGAGCTGAACTATCTGGTTTTGGCGACAGTGGGAATGTTCGGGTGAAATAAACCAGATGTGTAAGACAGGTCTGTTGCTCTGTGACAGACCAATAAAACTGTAAAACGCAGGAACAAAAGCCAAGTCAAGCGCATTTCTACTTTATTAGTTTCTATGAACAACCCCTCCCTAATGAAAATAGGACCCACTTTGCAAACGCTAAAGCTAGCAGTTCCATTTCAAGTCAGATCGCTAAGAAAACCAGAAGAAAAATGTTAAGAATCAGTGCAGATTATTATAATATGATGTACATTTACGCACAGTGCAACAAATTGTAAAAAAGCGAGTGTCTGCATGTGTGGCGGCAGAAGGGGAGTACGTCGAACTCTATTTATCGTAATCAATCTTGACAACAACTTGAAACAATCGGCTCCTTTCGGGGCCACCCATTATTTAAACGTAGGAAGAACTGCGGCAAATATCTGAAACAAGTAAATAACAATGTTCAAAGTAAGAAAAGAAATTCTGTGAAAAGTGATAGTGACCGTTCAGTAAGTTCAATAATCCCGCTTGGAAATCAGCAGTTCAGCGTAACATGTTGTCTTCTCGAATGCTCAGGATCGGCACAATAACCCAGTGACACCCAACCATTCTCATTACAGTGGGTCATTTACGGACAAATGGGTAAGTTTCATTTACATTATTTTTATATTTTTTCAAATCTAACGTAGGTTATAATTCACATGTTTATCAGTTATTGCATTTTAATTCTTTTTTTATTATTTGCAAACTTATTTAAAAAGAAAGAAAAAAATAATAGTATCAATTTATTTATTCTACATGACACCTATTCATTACTTTATTCGTTGTTCATGAGCAACCAATAATTCGATACTATTACATATCCTTTTCTCTTTTTATCCGACTTCAAAAAGGAGGAGGATACTCAATTCCATGTGTATGTAACTTTTTTTTTTTTTATGTACGTTCGCCGATTACTCAGAGACGGATGGATCAATCGGAACGAAACTTTTTGCGTCCTGTAGAGTGTAACTTCTCATTGGTCCACTAAAAAAAATATTTTGCATTTTTTCATTCCTAACGACTATTTCTTCTAAATGTATGTTCGCCGATTACTCCAAGATGGATGGACCAATCGGAACGAAACATTTTGCATCTTGTAGAGTATGTCTCCCGATTGGTCCCGTTAAAAAAACATTTTGCATTTTTTCATTATTAACGATTTTTTTGCAAAACACGTAATGCTTGACTTATAATTTTCACCGATTACCGCGAGACGGATGGACCAATCGAATAAAAAATTTTGCATCTTGTAAAGTATGTCTCCCGATTGGTCTCGCAAAAAATTTTTTGTATTTATTCATTCCTAATGACTTTCATTGCAAAAAACGTAATACTTCATTTATATCTTCCGGCGTTTATGCTGCAGGGAATGTACCAATTGCGATGAAACCTTTCAAATTTAGTAGGAGGTATATCCCCGATGATCGCACTTGCAAAAATTTATGGAATTTGTTAACAACTACTGTTATAGAAAAAAATCTATTCCTTCATGTTCCTCTGCAAGGAATGTATCGTTCGTGATGAAACCTTTCATATTTAGTAGGATATACAGGGTGTCACATGACAGCCGAAGAGGGATGATTGCTAAGGTGGTTCTAAACAACTTTTCCCTTTGCCAAAATGTTGGTTATTGCTCGGTTTTCGAGTTAATAACGAAAAACACCGACCAATCCGAGCGCGTATAGCGCGCAGTCCCATGGACTGCAGTGTCGGGTACGATAACCGGGCCTGACGAAGGTCGCGAACGAACGGCTTGGCACCCCGTTGGCATAGCACAATATAAAAACTGAACTGGCAAAACATTTTTAGTCGTTGTTTAGAATGAATTCGGAACCTAATCTCTTGTTGCCTGTCATAATGTAAAAAAGCAAAATTCTAAGGATTCTAAACAACAAATAAAAATGTTTGGAATGGAATAATTAATAAACGTTTGAATTGGAGGCTACGTTAATGATGAAAAATTTGAAAACAATTTAAATGAAACTTACTCTAAATTAACCTGCTACGCTGAAATCAAATAATTCCCACTAGGTTACTGTGTCGATTCTGAACATTCGACGAGGAAACACCTCGCCTATTATTCATACCTAAGTGCAATAAATGAGGGGAGTTCACTGGCTAGATCATGAAAACAGCTGTTCTACCGAACGTGTTTCCTCGTTTCCCAGTGACAATTATCTGCTTTCAGCGTAGCAGGTTAATTTAGAAACGAATGAGCAAGTTTCATTTAAATTGTTTTCAAATTCATCATTAACGTAATCTCCAATTCAAACGTTTATTAATTATTTCATTTCAATCATTTTTATTTGTTGTTTAGAATGCTTAGAATTTCCTTTTTTTATATTATGTCAGGCGACAAGAGATTAGGTTCCGTATTCATTATAAACAACGACTAAAAATATTCTACCAGTTCACTAAAAAGTGAGGCAAAAAAAGCCATGCTGCTAAAACAATTAATTACGACAAAAATGGACGAAGATAGCGACGTAAGGTTACACTTACGATAATTTTTTGATGTAGTTGATAAACTAGAGGACATGGAAATTCCCATTAACAATGATTTACTGGCCATAATGTTGCTGTATAGTTTACCAAAAAATTACGAGAATTTCAGGTGCGCAATTGAATCTTGCGATGAACTCCCAGCACCAAATACCCTAAGAATTAAAATAATTGAAGCAGGTGATGCACGCAAAGAAAATCCTTCAACTTGCGATATCCCCAATGCGAATGCAGTTTCTAATAAGGTACTACCAAAAGGTCATCAGTCAGGGTACCAAGGTAAGCCAAGATATTCCTACCGAAATCATCAAACCAACTCTTATCATAATGGCCAAAATAAGCCAAAATGCTACAAATGTAATAAGATAGGTCATAAATCATTCGAATGTAGATTTAAGGATAGATCTATGAAGAATAGACACAATAATGATATAGCAATGTTGACTACAGTAAATAGTATAGGTTGCGGAAAAGATTCATGGTGTTGCCTGGATAGTGGGAGCACAAGTAAATTGTGCAACAACCCAGATAAGTTAACAGATATGACAAGTTGCAGGTCAGAAAATTTAAAATTAGCAAATGGTGATTCAGTAAGCGTAACAGGTAGAGGAATGGCTCAAATAAAGATAAGGAATAAACATGTCAATAATGCTAAAGTCAATGATGTTTTATGCGCACCACAGTTGAGTATGAATTTGCTATCCGTGGGAAAGATAACAAGTAAAAATTTACAAGTGTAGGCGAGATAAGCTACGTCTCGAGTGTCACCTACGCATAGCCTCTTGACGGCGACAGGCCGTATATTTTGTAGATTGGCCGTGCGTAGTGCGTAGCGAATTGGTCGAGCGTTTTGGAAGGCACGTGGAGGCGTTCGACAGTCAGTCGAACTAGAACGTTCAGAGAATAAAGGTCGTAAACGAAACCCTTGTCTTTTTGTCCTACAGCTTCAGAAGTGGGATCGTACATCGTTTTGCTGTTTTCGGAACGTTCATTATTGTTTGTGTCGTTGTAACAGTCACGGTTTCGTTTTGTCGTTTCCGGAAGCTTTGTGCGGACTGCTATCGACGAAATGGATTTGAATTGGATACGTTCGACTCATTTGAATTTGAACTTGTGTGGACGGAACATTGAAGTTTTGAATTGAGGTGCTTGTAACTGAATTGTGACTTTGTGTTTTGACTTCCTGCGGTGATTTGGATATTTACTAGTCGCCATGGGTGAAGACCGCGTGCCATTTTTGAATTCGTGCACAGTGCAACAGTTGAAGGAATTTGCAAAGCGGCTGGGTATTCATACGAGTGGTTCGAAGGCCGAGTTGGTTGCTAGACTTGCTGTTATTGATGAGGCTTCTTGGAAAACGATACCAGAGGGTACCGGCCGGTCGGCTGGTCTACCAAGGTTGGAGGATGCGCCCGAATCAGCGGTATTTGTGCCGCCGGAAAATCGAGGTGAATCTTTTCAGCCGAGTAACGAGGCTTCGGCAAGTTACCACCGGGATGTGGCCGGCGGTGAATGCAGTGATGTGTCGGAATTAACGCGCCGCGAACTAGAGTTGTTGCGGCGGGAAAAAGAGGTGCTCGAGCGTGAGGTGAGAATGTTGCGAGGAAGCGTGGACGTTACCACCCCCGCGACAGGTGCTGGAAGTCGGGTTTCGACGATTGGAATACGTGCGATCGCCGATCTTTTGCCGGACTTTAGTGGGGAAAAGGATGGGTTTCAAAATTGGAGGACCCAACTTGAGCTTCTTCGCACGACGTACAATATCGATGAACTAACAATGAAAGTGTTGATCAGTTTGAAAGTTAAGGGAAAGGCTCAGGCCTGGTTTCACTCGCGACCGGCGCATCTGCAACTCGGAGTTGCTGAGTTGCTTGAGAGCATGGATCGCATGTTTAACCAGCGTCCAAATAAATTGAAGCTACGTAAAGACTTTGAGAGGCGTAAGTGGCAGCCAAACGAATCCTTTGCGGATTACTTTCATGCGAAAACGATATTGGGAAATAAGGTGCCAATTGATGGTGACGAACTTGTTGATTACGCTATTGATGGCGTGCCAGATGTTCGTTTACGTAACCAAGCTCGTCTGCAACGTTTCAAGACACCGGAAGATCTGTTGGAAGGGTTCGAGAACTTGTCACTTGGCCCTGAACCGAGGGAATACGAATGCCGACGGGAGGAGAAGAAGGACAGTACGGAGAAGAAGGACAGTACAAAACTGTCTACGAGAGGAGCGGCTGTGTCGACGCGTCGGAATAATGGTGTACGGTGTTATAATTGTTCGGAGACAGGTCATTTTTCGAGTGCGTGTCCACGACCAGCGACGCGGGAAAGAGGGTCATGCTTTGGATGCGGCAGTACACAGCATGGGATTCGAGATTGTCCGAAGGGATCACCAAAACCACCAGCCCTAGGAAACACGACCAACATTGTTGAGGCGGATACGAAGATTGCTCCGTACGTAGTATCGTTGTCATACGCAGTGGCGGATGGACTTGGTAATGTTTGCACTTCTGATGTTGTCGCGATGATAGATTCAGGTTCTCCTATTAGTCTAATCAAAGAGGATTTTGTTCCTCTTCGCGCGCGAAAACCCATTGCTGAGGATAGTAACACGTTTTACGGCATTAACGGATCAAAATTAAATGTTTTGGCGTTATTTCCTACTGATTGTACTGTTAATGATGTTTCGGTAAATCTTAACTTTTATGTAGTACCCGAGGGCACGATGAATTGTGTCGCATTGTTGGGAAGAGATTTTATGGCGTCTCCTCATATTTCTTTATCGTTATAAGAGACCGCGGTAGTTTCTAAGGTAAATTGTAATCCTGTAGCGGAAAACGAGACAGCCGGTACGTTGAATGAAATTTTTCTTATTGATTGTGATGTTGAAAGAGCAAGTGACGATCAGAATTTGAATATTAATCAACGAATCAGTCACGGTGTGTCCAAAAAACTTCGAGATTTGTTTACGGAAGAATATTTGAATAATAAACGTGTAGATCCTGCCTCGGATAATGTGGAGATGGTGATCAGTCTAAAGCACGATCAGCCCATTAGCTTTCGACCGCGTAGACTAGCGTTTTCGGATAAAGAAAAGTTAAAAATTGTTTTGGATCAATTGCTGAAGGATGGAGTTATTCGGCCCAGCAACTCGCCGTATGCGAGTCCAATTGTTCTCGTTCGGAAAAAGAATGGTGAATTACGGTTGTGTGTCGATTATAGGGAAATAAACAAGATCACAATCAAAGACAATTTTCCGACCCCACTTATTGATGATCATTTGGATCGACTACGTGACAAGCGTTACTTTAGTTGTCTGGATTTGAAGAATGGCTTTCACCATGTGCGTGTCAATGAGCAGAGTGTGAAGTTTACGTCCTTTGTGACCCCGTTTGGGCAGTTTGAGTACATTAGGATGCCCTTCGGCTTGATGAATGCTCCACGCGTATTTCAGCGTTTTGTGAATTCGATATTCGCGGAATTGTTGCGGCAGAATAAGATACTGTTATACCTTGATGACATCCTTATTGCCACAGAAGATATCGAAGAACACTTTTGTATATTGCGAGAAGTGTTTGGACTTGCGTCGCGTCACGGATTGCGCTTTAGGTTGGATAAATGTTTATTCTTGTTCGAAGAGATTACGTATCTTGGATATTTGATTTGTAAAGACGGGATACGTCCTGGTAAGGATACGGCGGAAGCGGTTTTAAATTACCCTATGCCGCGGAACTCTAAAGAAGCTCATAGATTTGTTTGTCTGGCGAGTTATTTCCGTCGCTTTATCAAAAATTTTTCTAATATTGCAAAGCCTTTATATGATTTAGTTAAGAAAAATGTCGAATTTCGGTTTGGTCCTGAAGAGTTGTCCGCGTTCGAGACATTGAAGACTTGTTTAGCGTCGCGACCGATTTTGGTAATTTATTCGCCGAAGCTCGTGACAGAGTTACATTGCGACGCCAGCTCTAGTGGTTTTGGAGCTATTTTGATGCAAAAGCAATTAGATGGACTGCTCAAACCAGTATTTTATTTTAGTAAACGGACTACAGAGGCAGAGTCTAAGTATCATAGCTTTGAGTTAGAGTGTTTAGCTGTAGTATACGCTATTCAAAGATTTCACATTTATTTATTTGGTATTCGGTTTAAAATTCTCACAGACTGTGATAGCTTTCGCTTGACGCTCAGTAAGCATAATGTTAATCCTCGCATCTCGAGATGGGCTCTATTTTTGCAGGCCTATGACTATACTATTGAACATCGACCAGGCACGAAAATGTCTCATGTCGATGCACTTAGTCGATGCCATGGAGTACTTGTACTGGAAAGTAATAGTTTCGAACGAATTTTGTCGGTAAAACAGGACAAAGATGAGGGAATTATAAAAATTCGGGATCGGTTAGAAAACGAGGAGGATAAGTATTTTGAGTTGCGTGACGGGCTAGTCTATCGTAAGACGAAAAACCGGAAGCTATTGTTTTATGTGCCAGAATGTTTGGAAGATAATGTCATCCGTACTTGTCATGATGATATTGGACATGTAGGAATTGATAAAGTGGTGGAAAACATAAGTCGTGTGTATTGGTTTCCGAGGCTTCGCGAGAAGGTAAAGGAGTACATTGCCAATTGTTTGAAGTGTATTGAGTTCTCGCCGACTAGTGGTAGACGCGAGGGATATTTGTACAGTTTACCGAAAGGGAATATACCTTTTCAGACGGTCCATATTGATCATTATGGACCACTTGAAAAATCTGGTCATGGGTTCAAGCATATTTTGTCAGTTGTCGATGGGTTTACCAAATTCACGCGATTGTATCCTTGTCGGTCTACAACCGCTGATGAAGCGATAAAGAGTTTGAGTGATTATTTTCGGTCGTATAGTAAGCCGAAACGTTTGATAAGCGATCGCGGGAGTTGTTTCACCTCTGCCAAGTTTGCGTCTTTTGTTGAGGAGTGGGCAGTCGAGCATGTATTGGTCGCCGTAAGTACGCCTCGTGCAAACGGCCAAGTTGAGAGGTTTAATCGGACTATTACGCCGATGCTGTCGAAATTGATCGAATCCCCAAATAAGTGGAGTTATGCGCTGGCTTCCGTGGAATATGCTTTAAACAATACGTTGTGTAGGTCTACAGGTAGTACACCTAGTGAATTGTTGTTTGGAGTTGTACAATCCGGAAAGTCCAATGACCGGCTGCGTGAACTTCTTCAATCATTGTCAACGGAAGAGCGAGATCTTCCTTCGATTAGAGACACCGCTTGTGTAGTTATTTCGAAGGTACAGGAGGAAAATTCGCGGTGTTATAATGTAAAGCGAAAGTCCCCCACTGTCTATAAAGAAGGTGACTATGTTGTAATTAAGAATTACGATACAACGCCAAGGGTGAACAAAAAACTTATTCCCAAATACAAAGGACCTTATGTGGTGAAACGCGTACTGGATTTTGATCGTTATATTGTTTCTGATATCGACGGATTCCAGATGACTCAGATTCCATATACTGGAACTGTGAGTGTAGACCAGATGAAACTGTGGGATGCGAAATAGTGTAAATGTATGGAAGTGTTTGTTTTGCTTGATTACGATTTTATATATCTTGTGTCTTTTTCTTTTGTGTGTATTTCTTGTTTCATGCGTGTTTTTTTTATTTAGTATATGCGTGTGATATTTAGTATAAATTGCGTTTTAATCTTGTGTTTTATGTTTTTTTTGTATGAGTTGACCGGGACGGTCATATTGTCAGGATGGCCGAGACTGTAGGCGAGATAAGCTACGTCTCGAGTGTCACCTACGCATAGCCTCTTGACGGCGACAGGCCGTATATTTTGTAGATTGGCCGTGCGTAGTGCGTAGCGAATTGGTCGAGCGTTTTGGAAGGCACGTGGAGACGTTCGACAGTCAGTCGAACTAGAACGTTCAGAGAATAAAGGTCGTAAACGAAACCCTTGTCTTTTTGTCCTACAGAAGTATTATTTCAAAGAGATAAAGCATTGATATTAAATCAAAATGGCCGTTGTACTGAAAGCACAGAGAATTGGTGACTTATATTATATAGTTAGTGATAATAAAGAAGAGGTACACCAAATCCGAGAACAACAGAGCGATATCGAAATCTGGCACCGAAAATTGGGACATTTGAATCCAAGAGACATGTTAGAATTGGAAAAACGAGGTATAATACCGAATTTGAAGGAAAAAAGCCATAATCTGAATTGTGATGTATGCTTGAGAAGTAAGCTGACCAATATACCATTTCCTAAAGAATCTAATCGGTCATCCAAACTATTAGAGATCATTTACTCTGACGTGTGTGGCCCAATGAGAGTCGAATCTCTTGGGAAATCAAGATATTTTTTGACGTTTACGGACGACTACTCAAGATATATAGAAGTCTATTTCTTGAAACACATAAAATAATTTTTAACAAAAAACAAATCCGACTTCGAAATGCACTAAAAAGTGTCAAATAATTTCTATTTCATTTATTCCAATATTCCATAGCTATTAATAATATCTACTTAATCGTTAAATAGGATACCAAACAGATTTCAAAGTTTTCGAAGGCGGTGCGAGATTAAAAACTTTTCTTCTACTAGGAAGATCCTAGTTCAGGCGTCGGCAAACTATGACAAATAACCTATTTGATAATTTCAAGTAAACAATAACAACGGGAATCAACATACCCATTGCGAATTAACTATACTGCAGTTCACGAATGACCGCACTTAACTCGCGCAGCTCACTAGGTCTAGGGAGATTTTTAATAGCGTGTGTGATTCCCCTTTACAGCTTGCTTCTTACTTTGCGTTCACATCATTTTGTTTCGAAAAATAATAGGAATTTCATTGTATCGTGAAACTTTACAATATCATCACAGGTTATCAGTTATCGTACGTCATATATTTTTGCCCACCGTTTATATGATCACAAAGTATAGTAAGAAGCAAGCTGTAAAGGGGAATAATACACGTTATTAAAAATCTCTCTAGTCTCTCGTGAACTGCAGTATAGTGCATGTACATCAGGAGTGCTGCCAATTTCTGATACAATCGTTACAATTACAAATGTTTTCAGTCGGACCTATAACGTTCCGCTTTTTCTCTTACGACTTACTAATTACCAAGTATGCCATACCGCAATTAAATCATTATTGGCAGCATCGTTTGTTCGGGTATTTTTAATTTTGTGCCGCCTCCGAAAACTTTGAAATGTATTGGGTATCCAATTTAACGATTAAGTAGATATTCTTAACAGCTATGGAATATTGGTATAAATGAAATAGAAATTATTTTACACTTTTTAATGCATTTCGAAGTCGGATTTGTTTATTGTTAAAAATTATTTTATTTATTCATTATTCCATACAACTTTTGTCCAACGAGTCCTACTATACCGACGTGGTGCCGATGTACTTGATCACGACCCCGACGAAAGACTGTTAAGGGGGTAGACACGGGTAATGCAGCGAGGTGACATTACCGGCAAAAATGGGCCTATTAATGGGTTTACGGGAATCGGTTATTTGTCCTTATATGAGAACACTTAGGACTGGGCGAGGGCTCATTCGAAAGAGGAAGGCCCAATGCAGGGGGCTCAACCGATCGTTCAACGAGATTGTGTTAATATCTAATAATATGAGTGTCCAACGTAGAGGAAAAATCGAGAAAATACGCCCGCTGAATCCAAGTACATTTTAGGTAACTATAAGAGTTTTGTGACTAAAACGATTTGTTGAGCCCCCTTCATTAAACCTTCCTCTTTCGAATGAGCCCTTATTCAGCTCAAGATCTTCTCATATAAGGACGAATAACCGATTCCCGTAAAAGCA